ACGAATCTGGTTTCAGTTATACACGACGTTCGTACGAATCTGGTTTCAGTAATGCACGGCGGTAAGGTGTTTTAGATTGTGTTGCGGTTTCCCTATACGCCCACTGTTTTCTTCGTAGCATATCTACAACTTCTACGTTGTTGTTCTTAAATGTCGCTACTTAGCTTGGACAAATCCTACTAATGTCTGGAGGAAAACTGATCGGTTGTTTTCTGTTGTTCCTACGGTCAATACCAGATTAATGCTGGAGCTTTACTGTAACAAACGGGAACCGGGCCATGGGCGATATCGCTCCTAACACACACACACACACACACATTTAAACTTCACGCACTAAACTTTAACACACATCCCGGGTGTGGTGGTTTCGAACTGGAGGACGCTCGAGGGGCCAATCCTGCAAGGCGATATGTAGGTACGCCCCGGGTTTTACGTTTCAGAGGAGGCGGAACGGCGCCGCCACTTACCAAGATATAGCATGAACTACACTTACAGGACAAATGACCAAATGTATAGAATCAATAAAATACTCCCTCACTATTATTTGTAGCGGCGTTCAAGGGTGCCTTGTATGCGGTCTCCACAGACAGTGATTTTTAATGTCAAAAACTGCTAAAACTGAGTTACGTACCAAGAGGAGAGTTGTATTCAGTGCACGATTTCTTAAATTCTGGATCCCTCACCGTAACTCAAATACAAATTGAATTAAAAATACAGGGAAAGCCAGAGTTTTGGGCGAGAACTGATAAAAAGATGTGCGCCCACGTATAATAGAAATTATTTGCAAACGCAAACCAGCTAAATATTTGAACTAAAATCTCTCATTGCGTCTTTCGCTAACGAATGTATTTCCTGTCGCGGGGTCAACAGAACGATTATTTGAATATATAAAACCCACTATATTTCAAACTATAATCCCCAATGACCTTTAGAAAATGTGGACAGATAGTGAAGTTACATTTATTATGTTCAAAAGAAACTCAAATCAATCTCGGCATTTACTCAAAGGATCAGGTAAAATGTATGAAAAACCACATCGATATCGGTGTCAGAGACCCACAAGCTGAATTCATTGATGCCAAACCAAATTGGGCGGGGGGGTCGTGGTCAGTGAGTACCGATTTATAATGAATAAACTGAGAAACCATTAATTACGAATAACTCGCTTTCATTTCACAAACGTGTTTTCGGGGCTGTTGTGCTCTCTATTATTTATGTCATTCCATTAACTGGAAAAACTTGGCACGAAATCGAAGTATTTGTGTTGTTAAAATGCAAGAAAAACACACATTAAAACTTCCTTTTTAAGAAATATTTACAAGAAAATTCTTCGATGAAAATGTAATATATTGCGGGTTTAATTAGAAACGTAATGAAAGAAAAAATAAGGACTCTGAAATTCTGCATTTATTATCATCCGTTTTGTGTCTTCATTCACTGACATACATATTCGTATCTGTTTAACATTATTTTGTTTTCAATTTTTACTAACAAATCAATTATTGTTTACTGACGCTATCGTAACGGTGTACGTTACTCTTGAAAACGTGTCGTAACTTCCAACTACACACATTGAAGCGACACTTTAAAGTGTTAACAAATCGGAACAGTTCCAGGCATGCAGTTTTCGGCGATGAATATTTTGGAACCAGTCAATAACAAACGTCTTCTGGCCTCAACCAAGCACACAAACAATTAGGCCGCTGCTATATGTAGCGTAGGCAACATCATGCAGGCAATGGCATAAAGACGGCAACAGACTATTGTCCGATTTAAACATAGGGACTTGAGATTGAGCTGGACGCAGTTTTCCAATCAGGAGCTTCGATATGTCTTTCATTTCCGGTATTGAAGCTCACGAATGGAAAACAGCGTCACGCTCATCATCTGTCACAAGTCATTAAAGTATTTAAATCGGACAACGCCGGAGTAGCCTCAGAGCCGGGGGATGCGTTGCAAGAAAAGTGCGGCGAGAAAAGTGGAAAACGAGAGGTGAGACTGCGCCCACACACTAGATATATCATTATTTTGATGACTCGCAATGCCTATGTGCCACAAGCCCAAAACCCGTGGGCCTAGATTGCAATTGGCTATGAGATGAGCTGCGTGTTCCATTTGTTGTTTTATTGAATGCTCTTGTGCAATTTTAATCCGTTAAATCTTTGTTTCGTCTCCATGATAATAAATGTCTGAAAAGTGAGTTCGAATTGCCTGAAGAGAAATACATTACTGCATTGTATTTAAATCGATATTTATCTTATTTAACGTAGAAAATAAAAAAACTGTATGTAACGTATGGGGGGGGGAGTACAGTCTGTGCATGGTTTCTCGAGTTTCCATCGAGGGTGCGAAAAATAAACTCGTTCGCCTTCGAGGGTGGGAGCGGAAAACTCTAGCTGTAGTCTGTTGCCGGCCTAAAGGTGACGTTTCCCAAAGGTGCGGGCATCGTTTGCAATGTTCCGAGCCCATTTCTCTGGACTTCAGGTACGTTATCAATTATTTCTATTGAGGCTCTTAGTTCAGCATTCAGCATTCACGTATTACCTAAACAGAATATGTTTGAATGTCTCAAAGTTTGAGAATTAGTACATTTGGATTTTCACTATCCGACGTGTGTAAGCAGTTTTTCCTAGAGCGGTAACTACTTTGGTCATTTGCTCCATGAGAGCAGTGAATGTTATGACGAGGCGTTCCTCCTGCGATGAAACGTGAGATCCATGGCCGACCTACACAGCTATTTCCCCTCTCTTCCAGATATCTTCCCCACTGGGGATCCCTTCGGTGAGATATCAGTTATATTCCCAAGTAGTATCCGAACATACGTAGAAGTGTAGAGCACATAAGTGTTTATGTGTAAGCGGAGAGGAACAAGGATGAGGAAGGAAAGACTGCGCGGTTCGTGGCCAGGTTATTGGGTACTGCTTGGGCATTCGCCTGTATCGATCGGAACAATGAAAAACCACCAAATAGAGCAGCCGGCCGATGAAATTGTCCTGCAAACAGTGGTTGAATTCGACCTAGATCTACAGCTAGGGTCAAAAATCATTCACTGTCGGGGTTCGACCTCTGGGACCTTTCAGTCAGAGACGCAACAGCGGTATCAGTTGATCCTGAGCTATCTCAGCCGGTGAGCGTTGTTAATATGTATGTATTAACCAGAAAACGTTTTTCCATACCCAGAATTCCGTTAAAATTTCTTCCATAGCCATATATTTGTCGCGTAATTTATTTTCTTTCAAAGTGCGAAGAATTTCAAGAAACCTCATTCGTGTTTGTGTCTCTGACTCTTTCTTCCTCCATGGAGAAACCACTTCTGTTGCGCCCCTCCTGCTTGAACTTCTCCGTGACGCCGAGAGGCAAATTTTAACCTTCGCTTCAGCCCCCGTCCCGCCTACGCAAACGCTGCTTCGCCGCAGCCTTGGATTCCAAGAGACCACGTGACACAGATGACCACTTTTGCTCCGGGGTGTGTCTGCCAAGGCACGGAGTGCACTCCACACGACGCGGAGGTGTGCATTTGGGTCACGTCGCACACCATCTTACGAAAATGACAGAATTAGAAGAGTAACACTTCTGTTGCATCGACAACACCTAACCAGACATAAATATAGTTAAACAACCAATAAATATTATAAAATCAGTCATCGAATACATTTCAATAATTATTCCAAAACGAATAAGTAAATATACTCCAGTCGTAATCAAGGTTGATGAATGAATCAAGGCAGAAACAGATGTAGGAGCAGCCATAGCTGCCAGAAGTCAACAAGAAAAAGAAATTTGAGCTCTCTTAGTTATAGCAGCTAAAATAACTAAAATAATCAAATATCATATTTCAACATCCAAACTTCCAAAATTATTAACATATAAATAATTTCAACTACCATATCTTATTATTCAAGCAATTGATAATAACATTGGCACACCACCAATACGATTTGACAAAGCTGTAATTATACCAGCATTATAAGACGTAATATTTTGATTATAAATAACTAAACAATAAGAAACTAATCCTAAACCGTCCCATCCTAATAAAATTCTAATTAAATTGGGACTAATAATTAAAACACATTGTAGATAATACAAATATTAATACTAAAATAATAAAACGAGATAGATTATAATCAAACGGGTGAACGAAAAACAACTCTTCAGGCAGCATGTACGTTCGATCGATCAAGGTGAATTACTCCTAAAAAATACTTTAAATGAAACTCAAATCTCTTTAGGCTACATCAAGATGGTAAGAAAAAAGTTCGGGTTTACCGGCCTAATTTTTTAACAAAATGAGAGTAAATTAGTCCGGGCTTTTATGAGATAAGGATTTATTAAGTTATTGAAGAAGTTGTATAGTGAGAGTACCTTTTTCTTCTATTCAAAAGGTATATAATTTTTTGAGGAATCAGAAGATATTAAATGTAACATCCCTCTCCGAGCATTCTGAGAAGTAATTGATTAAAAAGTCGCTGCAAAACCGAAACGAACATACTACCTTAAGAAGGTTGTATTACGAAAAGAATTGAACGACACAATGCCAATATAAGAAACACGTTTTGACTCTAAGCCACTGCTTGTCTCGCTTTACAAACAAGTCTGCGACCGTTATTGACTTCATCTCGTCCCTACGACGTTGATAACTACATACACAATTTTGGGTAATGATTCTTCTACAATCATGTCCTGTTTAATTAATCGTTTGGTGAGGAACGTTCATAAAACGTAACAACTCAAACACTTAATTATTTGATTTTTCACACCAAACATTTAAACATCTTTAATAACTTCAGAATACTTTTATAATTTTATCAAATCAAAACAGCAAATGGTATTTCAAAAAATGAAAAAGATATGATTTTATATAAGTTTAAATGTGAAACTGAATATACTCATAAATAACTAATTAATCTAACTACAATATTAATGGTAACGTCCTAGGAACAGGGATTTGTTTTATTCTTTCAGAACTTCTTTCTCTCATAAATAAGCACATAATCCTATTAGCGTTTGACAGCGCCCTCGCTCCTTTTGCCCCCACTCCGCTCGCCACTTCACCAGAAAGAACAGAGGCAGAAAGCGAGTTAGACATTAGAGAGGGTTTTAAGAACCAGGTTACTGTTCAGGTTCGCAGTTCTCTCGTGATTTTGAAATTACACTGGTAGCAAATAAGCCTAGATAATTTTGGCAATAAGCATTACTACAATAATAGTGCAAAGAAGGAAGTGAAAACTGCTGAACATTATTCATACACTTTAAATAATTTATGTTTTAAAGGCATACTAATCAAAGGTTTGACATTCAATCACCGCCAGATATTTGTTTCAACATGGACCCAGAAAGAATCGATTGCTTTGTGTGAAGTGAATGCTCATGTCTAGAGCCCGCATGTTTATGTCAACTCATTTTTTTTCTTTGTTCTATTTCTATGGAAAACAAAGTTAAGCATGGCTTTATCTACAATGACTAAAATAATGTGATTTTCGCGTGACTTGTACAGTCGTATTTTGGCTTTTTTTAAAACCCTTTCGTCGTTTTCTGTTCATATTATTGATGTCTCTTCATATTATTCATTTATGTTCATATTATTATGGTCATTTTCCTACGAATTTTCGTATCTTTGACATATTTTTTATCATTTTGATTCGATTTTCGCATACTTACCGGCTGTCGTCTCAAAGAAATTTTTCACATCTCCTAATTCAAACGATGTTTTAATGGGAGGCTGATTAGGTGATTGTCTTTTCATTTCCAGTGAAAATTAGAGAAAACCACACAACAATTATTGTTGTTACCTTATATTTGCAACGAATCTGCTGTGGTCTGAAGGCATGAAGAGAGAAACTGTTCTACTTCTAGTTTCTGATGGAGCCCCATTACATGGTGAATGCTGGCAAGGGTTTCCAGCTACTCCACCCTAAAATGACACAAGTACCGTGCATTGCACATGCAATAAATAGAGTTATGGAAGAAATTTATGGAAATTATCCTGATGTAGAAAAGTTAATTTCTTCAGTGCAGAAAATGTTCATCAAAGCTCCATTACTAGCGCAAAAATTCAAGGAAATGGTTCCATTGGTGTCATTGCCTTCGAACCCATTATTACACGTTGGGTCACGTGGCTTGAAGCCGCAAACTACCGGTACCAATTGAAAAACTATCGAAATGCATTCAATGCAGGCGAAGCTTCCTCCATCGAAACTGCCAAGCCACTTTAAGTTCACTAACTGGAGATCTCGCTTACAGTTATAAAACAGAAAATTTTAAGTCATATTTAGGGTCATTTTTCCATGACTTTAGGATATTAATGCTTGAATATTTCAAACATTTTTAGGTCATAAACATCAGGGCCCTACTCAATGAATATTAGCTTAAGAGCCGGTTTTTACTGTCTCAGCAGATTCGAAAATTCAGAACACCAGATCTCAGACATCCATAAAAGCATCTAGAGGCCCTACCTGGAGAGTGCTCGGGGTAAGTTCGGGAAGGTTCCTACCACGCCCGCCAAGGGATTCGGGGAAAATCGTTAAGCCAGCTTAAAAATATGAGGTTTCTGGAAATCCCAAAGTCTTTGGAACCCGTTAAACTATCCAGCTTCACGTTCGCCACGTGGGTCAAGAAAAAGTGTCTAGGGTGTCTAGTGCATATGAGCAAAGTAATGATGTTCATTATAGACGTTGATATGTTCACTTCACGAAAAGTGCGCGCACTTCCGCATATTGATTGAGGATTCCGGGCGCGTCAACGGTTGAGGTCATTAGTCCCGTAAGTGTAGGGCATGATTTTCATCGGGAAGTGGTAGTGGTGATCTTCCTCCGCAAGATCTACCATCCGGCGCCGATCTATCGACGACTAGCAAGGTTTTCCTCAACCAGGTATCTCCCACCGGCGCGGCACTTCACCAGCCGGGACAAGATCTAAGCTCGCGGCCAGTCTCCCAGCATTTGTGGCCGTGTAGGATGCGACATTTGCCTGGTATTGAATGGAGAAACCACGAAAAACTACCAATGAGAGTAGCTGGATTTCTCCTCCAGACACCGACTGAATTCGATCTAACTATTTTGCAAGTATCGAAGATCCTGCTACTCGACTCCAGGACTTCCCGACCAGAGGCACTGCAGTGGCATCAGTTGATGTCACGCACTTCTGAGTGCACTTGGTAAACGACCAAACGTGCGCGCGCGAGGGAAATGACGTGTTTATAACCTTAAACTTCTAAGGCGAATTGACGCTTCGCTACGCGATTAACACCACACATCTTTGAGTCTGTCCACTGCATAATTGTCAAAGCCACTTGTGCCAAAGTCCTTTTGTTATTTAATTAAAACGCGCTATTCTTATTTTATCAACGAAACAAAATGTTCCCATTCCCGTTACTCGTTTTATGTTCCCGTTCGCGAAATATCTCACGTCTGATTTGATTCGCACCGACAAGAGACAAGACCCCTTCATAAAACCACAAAAAGAACACAGTTTGGCCTGAATGGTAGTAAGACAGAGTAAATAAACTTGGACACCCTGCGCTATGATCTTGCTTAATAGAAAAATGATTAGCACACTGTACGTAAACAGATTTGCACTAAAATACCTAAATTTCCGGAGTCAGAATAACATCAACAGTAAGAGTAACAATAACAGCAACAATAGGAGCAGCAATAACAACAGTATGAGAAACAACAATAGCAGCACTAACACTAAGCAACGCAGACCTACTACGGTTTTATCGAAACGCAACCCGCTGAATTTGAAGGTCGCCACAATCTCTCACGTTGACAGGGAAATTTACATTCCCGTCGCGAATGACCGAGTCAAGAGCGCGGACAGACAGACACGCCACAAGAACTACCTGGCTGGCACCTCTGTTATTGCTTTTGGCGGGCGACAGCGAAGTAAAATAACCGCCGCCCAGCACGCATGCTCTAGAGGGGCCATCACCAAGTGCCACGTCGCCAAGGGCGTGTCCACCTTGACGCTCCGACATCAACCACGTTACGCGAGAGCAGAAGCACCTGCGTCACCGAAGAAACCACATATAAAGAGAGGTCGTATACGTTTGCAGATAAAAAATACATGGAATATGACAACGAAGTACAGTGAAAACTACTGAACGCGGTGAAACCTAGTGAACCTCCATTAGCGGTCCCCTCTACTAACGCCAATTTGTTTCGTAGAACGGATTGGTTTTTTTAAATATACATGTGTAAATATACCGTTTTTTAGCAACCGCCTCGCTACGCGACGAGCAGATAAACACACTTCGTAGACAGACCTTTAGTAAGCGGTTTGAACTGTATTATAAAAAGAAGCGGAAAAAGTGGCGAAGATTGCCTTTTATTTAATATCTTCCTTCGCAGTGGCGCATTGTCAGATTGCTTCGAATGACATCCAGTCTCTTATCTCTCAGGGGCATTATTTTTTGTTTCAGGCAATAACAGATGATTTAAAAAAATGCATCTCATAATGAAAAAAAAACAAGAGTTAGATTCTCTCGTTCATAGCATTCTTATGATTAGTTAGTTAGTGTTAGTTTTAAATTATTGAATGAAAAATAGTATACGAATCGTAAATTGTACATTATCAATTACTGCAGACTTAAAATCGTGGTATTTAAACGTAAGAGGACTTGATCTTGGTACATGGTATCTTCTTTAAAATCCTGGTAAAAATACCAGGATCCTGGTTCGTCTGGTAAAACTACCTTCATGTTGAACGAACTGCTATGCTTATGGCGCATAAAGAGTATCTGCTCCCCCCACCTCGTTGCATCCAGGACTGGGTGTTTGTATCTCACGTTAGACTTGCACGCGATTCTGTCCTAGATTGCCAAGGAAGATAAGACCGGAATCCACATATTATTTCCATTCACAAATTGTTTATTGCTCGGGAAAGTCAAACTCATCGGAACCTCTCAGTTTCGACATTTAACTTTGTTGGCCATTACTTGAATTATTACTTCCTAGAATTGTATGTTAAACCAAACATTATTCGACTATCTTTAAACATGTTTAGAAAGAATACTATCTGGCAACATTCCAAGAAACCAAAAGTGATGAACGTCGAGGAGTTTCACAGCATCAGTCTCTCCTATTAGAATACCAACGTCACATCAGAAATTACACAATACAAGAAGTCCGTTGCAACTCTGCTTAGCAATGTTCCCTCTTATCGATAGAAAATTTCAAGAATTTAACAATTATTACCCAGCTATATTTTGGCTAAACTATACTTCTGATAACTCAACACTAAATACCCATGGCGAGGGGCCGAAGTACATCATTACATTTTTGAAAACAAATTTCCCTGAAATATCCCTCCAGGATATTCTGGAAGAATTACAGCAAAAAATAACACGTGCTTTTGAGGATTTCAATGCATCTACGAATGAAACGCTGTGAATTGCAATAATGTCTTTCCGACATTTACATAAATCTGATGCATCAGTTTGACGATAATTAAACCTAATTTTACAATGGACAAAAATTAAAATCAGTATCGATATCGATCATTTTTTTAAATATTATGAACATGCAAAACACAAATAAAACATTTCAACGTGAAAGTACTCGCCAGTGACGTCACGGGAAACTAGTGGAACATATTATGTAGAATTAATAATATAATTGGTTTTAGTAAAAACAATTTATCTGAATACTGAAAGTACGAATTACAGACGTCTTATATTTAAGCTCTCTCACCACTCTTTCTCTGCCACTGTTTATTTCCGAAACGATTTCGGAGCAATTACGTAAGGAATGTTAATTACAGTTTCCTTGAGCCGAGAGGGAAGTGAATTTAAGGTAATAAACACTGCAATCTTTCTTTTGGAATGGCAGAATGCAGTACGAGACTTTCTCTTACGGTTTTCGTAACAATGTTCTGTAAACTCTTTACTTGCGTCCAATACAACAGTGGATGAATCATTCTTTAACCTACTCAGTCACATCAGTTATTGCCTTTTATCTCTTCGGGCAGGGGCTCGGAGCTGTTAGATTACCGAGCTTCCCAAACGGTGTTCCAGGAACTCGCGGGGTCTCGCGTTACTTAACTTCCGTGAATTTCCGGATCATAGCTAAGCAAAGTTCAGTAGCGACCCCGGCTTTGTACATCGTTCCTATGAAGTACTCAGTTCGACTTTGTGACGAAATTTGAACGCCCCACACGAATAAGAGTTAACAACGGATGGCGATGTTTCTGTGTGTGTGTGTGTGTGTAATCTCTTGTTGTGGAGAACGTAGAGCAAGATAGAATGTACTAGAAGACACGCACGCAAAATTACAATTAGATCATGAGGCAAAAATGTCATTGCATCATGAATTTTATACTCGGAATAGGAATATACAGATATAAAGTTTAAAACGTTATGAGCACTAATGATTTTAAAATATATGCAATAGTCAGTGTTATTACCGATTAGTGAACATAACGTTTGGTTGAAACATTGTTTTCGATGACTGCACTCAGATCAAAGAGTGCAATACGACGGGAAGTCATTACGAACTCCTAAAACTTTCAGGAATTATGGCCAAGAGATTCGGTGATTGAATATAATATTACATAGACTCGTTCATCAACACAAGGGAACCACGACCCCACACATATCTCCAACAGTAACACTTTTTAGACATACTTAAAAAGTACATGAATTCTCATTTTATTGGTATTTAAATACGTGAACACTCCTTACAGAAGTAGAAATTTCCCTGTACTTTACTTAACATTCATAAAACCCAATGAATCCGTAGAACCCAGTTCAAAAACATTGGTCTTCAGCAAAAAAATATCACCAAACATCCTGCAGGTACTGTGACAATCTTCGAGAATTGAAATCTACTCGGTTGTACTCGTATTTGTGTTGATAAACAGAAAAACATATGCGGATGGAAATCTTTATAAATTAGTGCGGTATTTGTGTATCCGAAGACACATTTCTCACTTTTAAATCATTGTTTTAAAAGTAATTATTGCTTGGAAATGAAACATAGCTTTCACTGTTTCTGACAGTAGGTGCTTCGGGGTAGGAGTAACCTCAAACAAAGTTAGTATGAGACCAAAAACGCATCATCTCGTAGATTACGGTCTAAGAAACGTAAATCGCGTTCCTCGAAACAAAAATCAGCTTTTAATGGCCGTCCCGAGTTGCGGACGACAACCTGTGTTGTGTGTTGCACGTTAACATGCTGTTTCCTTTACATCTATCGGCAAACTTCCACTCTTTTTCGTCTTGAGTTTGGTGCCAACGCGGGGGTAATTTTTTGTGTGGACAGTTTCTTCACAAGTTTACGACTAGCTTTTATTTCCTGTAACCAATTTTCCTGACTCTACCCGGTTTGCCAGAGCACTTTAAAGATTGTTCACTGGTAATACTTGTAGAGTATTTCACACTACTTAAAGAAAATATTAAAGTAAGCTTCAAACTAATCTGTTAGCTCCCTTATTATACCATGATAAAGGACAAAGTAAAAAATTATCAATAAATAGAAATTCAACCAAAAATAATGCATTACTATTTTTTTAGGAATAATATCTAGTTTTAAAACCAAATTTTGAACAAACTTTTCCCTGAGTTTAACGATTCTTCCACAAATTTCCTGATTTTTCCTGACTTTCCCACAGCTTTGCATTCCCCAATTTTCCCTGCTTCCCAGAAAGTGGCTACCGTGTTCTTACAAACATGGTAGACACTTTCTTGAAAACAGGGAAACCCATGCGCTTTTCTCAGAGAATCCTTTGCGGAGGGAACTAGTGTACTTACTGGGACTGTCGTCGATTTAAAACTATCTGAAAATGTTCCCTGACCTTTGCAGAGCAATGAAATTCCCCGATTATTCCATTTTCCATTCTTTCCACAAAGAGGCCACCAACTTCTTACAAAGAGTAGGAACCCGTGAGATTTTGGGGAGGGGGTGGGTGTACTCACTGGGGCGGTCGTCGTCATGGCCGCCGGAGGACGCGTCCTTGCCGTTGGAGCGGTGGTGCTTGTGGTGGTGGTGGCGGCGCGAGTGGCGCTTCACGCCAGGCAGGTGCACACCCACGTACACAGTGTGCGCGCGGTGACCTGCCAACAAACACACACACACAGGTTACATTGGGACTCACACGGTCAGGAGAGAAGCCTGGATGCGATGTCTCGCATTAGGACTTCATGAACTGTGGATTTGGACAATATGTAGTTAAATGCAATCTCTACTGGGCGGTACTGATTTTGAAAATAAACTGAGCATATCAGGACATGTAATAATATTATTATTATTATTATTATTATTATTATTATTAATAATAATAAAATAATAATAGCAGCAACATCTAATAGTACACAGAACAGAACTATGCTGTCGCACTACCGTGGAGGTATACTCAGCACTCCATTGCATTGCCCCACATTTCAAGGCACTTCCACTCATTTCCCGCCTTTCTGAATTGCTTCACACTTCAAATTGCTTTTTTTAAATGAAACTATGTACACGATTTCAAGGTTTGTTTCAAATAGCGGGGTTTATACGTTTTTAGAAGTTACCGTTAGAAAAGAAAAGAAAAAAAAAAACAACAGATTCTGTGTTGACATATATGAAGAATGGCAGATCCAGTTTACCAGAAAATCATTTTGTCTTTAAGGACATTTTGTTTAAATGTTACTTCCGGGCGCGAAAATCGAACCGGCTGCCGCGTCACAGCACATACCCATCGTCTGACGGAGCTGGGCAGAGCGACGTCTCTTTGCGTTTTCGGTGAAACTGTCGAGGGAGGCAAACATCGCTCCAGTTCCATAACAGAATCAAGTCTTATGTGTACTATTCATTTAATCTATTAACTCTTCTAAAATTAATTTTTGCTGTAAGTTATAACCACGGTACACAGCGACGGAACAATCAACACTGAACACAAAACCTTATGTAAATTAACAAAATTCGCGTATTTTCAGTGTAAACTAATGACTTGTTAGAGATGTGTGTAACTAGGGACTTAAGAGATACGATAAATGACAGTCCCCTACAGTTCTTTCTTTAATGTCATAACACATACTAAAGTTTCGTAGCTAAAATGTTCATTAAAATATCAGAGATAAGTTCTTTAATTATTTCTGGGCGTACAATTTGAAGTGCTGATTTCCCCAGTTTGATTTTGTGTAGCCGCAAGCCAACAATTGCATTGGTGAATATTTTTAGTATACTTTTGGATGCACAGTCAAGCAATTCGACGCGGTGTCCATGATTAACACTGAGAAAATATGGGGTATATGCCCCATATGATGACTAGAAAAATTGTTTACTAATATGGTGTTAGTAAATGTTAGTAAATATAAAAATTACACAGGAGTTTTCCTTTAACCTCAATATTCTCAAGGAAGGGGAAGTACATCCATCCCGATGAAATCTTTTACGTGCAGCAACCAGAATATCAACCAATTACAAACATTTGGAGCGCGTAAGACAACGCACATCTGACAACATTTAACAAAAACGTATCAAATGACATTCATATCAACGAAGCAATAGAAGCTACTAAACCGCATGTCAGCCCACTTCTTTGCAAGTGCTATCTCCGAATAGCGCGTGTAACCCGACTGGAGTATAAAAATCGAGGCTTTCCTGCCTTGTTTCTCAACCTTATGACGCCGCACGATCGATGCACCTTGAGTGTTGTGACTGCGATGTCTCAATGGGGGAGTTGTATGGTCGTTATTTTCACGCCTTACGAGTTGAAAGTTGAGATGAAACAGCGTTAACAGGTACACCCACTGGCATCCATTCTAGAGAAATGACAGGCACATCATGCAGTTTCAAAATATCTTTATGGCAAAAAAAAAAAAAAAGACAAGTAATATTTTTTTAAAGAATGTATTGTTAAGATTAATTCTAATTTGAAGAAAGAAATCGAAACAAAAGAATTATTAAAAATACAATTTTGAAATATCCAAGTTCTTGTATTAGCATAACAAAGATCGTAATTTCTTTCCGACATGCAAAAATGATTCGTTGCCAAACACCTGTCTAGAAAGCACACGTGACAAAATTTAGTTTACATGTGCGTGGGTCAGAATTGAGGAAAAAAAGAACAGTGACGTGAGATGCACGACAAAAACAAACATTTGGGGGGAACAAACAGAATAACAGTAGCACAAACGAGACATAAAACGCAAAGTTTTACACGGGTTTCTCAACGTTTTCAGAGATTTTTCCTCTCTCCCCATCAACACAGATGATAGCTGTTGAACTGGCAGCTTGCTTCCAGGAGCAGCTACCGTCGACAAAGTTTTCCAAATACCAACATCAAATATTTTGAAATGAATAAGTCGTAAATCGAACGACAGCTCCTAAACAAAAGGCCGTCTGGGGAAAAGGCCCAGTAACAGAACGAATTCTGCACTTTGTAATGGGCATGAAGCTTTTCCTCACTGAAATTAATAAGTACGTAATGGAGAATAATAGTGACCATCATTATGTACTGATATTCATAAAGTACAGCATTATTGTAATGCAATACATTGAAAAGTACATACTGTTCTTAAAAATTGAAATCAATGACAATGTATACAGGCGGCCTCCCTGCCCACACGTCCCGCTATTCAGGCGGCCTCCCTCCCCACATGTCCCGCCATTCAGGCGGCCTCCCTCCCGACACGTCCCGTCATTCAGACGGGCTCC